CGATTTTCTCTCTGTCTTCAGCCAGTTTTTAATCCAATTTCGTTGTCCATGAGCAAAATCCTTTTATGATGTCACGTTAGGATGTTGCATGTCGCATGTCGCAGGCCAAAAAAATCCTTTACTTTTTTTTTGCGGCCGCAAAATCAATAGCAAGCCAGGAAACTCGGAATTTTTTTTGCCACTCTGAAAACAAACAGAAAAGGCCAAAAAACAGCGTGATGTCATCATTCGTTGTCTTCAATTTGGTTTTCGGTTCGTTTTCTCGCTCTTTTATTCGACGGAACAGCACTCAGTTTGTTTCTTCAACGATTTGCTTTTTGATGAGCTCCGCTGCAAGCGTAACTAATCCAAAATTTGTCAATAAAAATAACCTTGTTTGATTGGGATTTAAATATATAAGATGTACTTTCCAAAATATGAAACCACGAAAGTGCGAACTAAATTATTTTTGTACTTGGTTATAGCTCAAGGGGATTTTTTTATAATAAATTTTTTTAAATAGGATTATAAAATATTAAAAAGTCTTTACATGTTACATTTTTTCATATGACATCTTAAGTGTTAAGGGGATTCGATGCGGGATCGGGGTTTTCGCGGTAACCGCACTTAGGTGTCTGTTGTCTTACTTTTATTTATCTTTTTGTTGTTGTCTAGCCTTAACCTAAACAGCGAAAAAATTATAATAACTTCTTTCCATGACAATAATATAATATTATATGTATCTTTAAAATCATATGTACTAAATAATACTATGACATAAAAATATAATACATATTTTCAGATTCCTTTTATAGATCATTAAAAAATATCATAATATAGGAAGGGAACTATCATTGCTAGGCAATTAGTACAAATCATTTATTTAATGGAACTAGCCTGAAAAACTCTTCTGAAATCTTTACCTTTAACCTGTTGTCTATCCTACTTTTAAAAATATTTTAAGTTATATTTTATATATATATCTATTTATATGAATGCTTATCGTGGAACTATTTTGAACATGATTCCGGCTTGCGATATACTTTTTGCGTAGTGCATTTGTTAGTTTAGCTTGGTTTATCATCCGTTTTTGCGGCTGCTCTAGGTGCCAGTACCGTATCTCTGCCGGCGTCGAGTGCATTGCACTTTTAAGTGTTTTCGGGTTGGGAAATCGCGGAAAGCGGGAAAGACGCCGGCAGAGAAAAACCCCATGTGGCACAGTTGCACACAGCCCAAAAAAAAAAAGAAAGAGAACAGAGACAGGCAGACAGGAGTGGCGACTGCAATTTGCATTAGCTTTTCGCTGTGTTTTAGTTCTTGTGCAGTCACCTCCAACTTCTTTTTCACATTTTCCATTTTCCGTTTTCCATGCCCAATGGGGCTACTTTTGAGCCCTCTTATCATTTGGGTTAAATGTGCAAACACAAAAATAAGGGGCATGGCTTTTTGGTTAATTAGACAGAGAAAAATTCATAGCTGGTTGTCAATACTCAAGAAATTTTTAGTAAAATATTCAAAATTCCAATTCCTTTATTTTCTGCAATCATATTATTTATGTGTTACACGACCACAAACTATTATAAAATAGGTTAACTGCTTTGAGCATAACTGTGTTGGCAATACGTAAATAAAATTATCGAACGATTACAGATTATTTAATCTAACAATCTCCGCCTGCCTTTTAATTGATCAATCAACAAGCTGCTCTTAAAAACACAATAAAAGGGGCCTATCTTTGTTTACTCGAGTATTTTTTGCAAGATCTCGAAGCGATCAAGTTTCACATTTCCACAGATGCAAACAATTCTTTATCGGTATTTATTTTTGATCCAAGTTGTCATTTAAATGGTTTTCTGCCATAAACAAATAAAAAGTAAAGCTTTGTCGGATCGGGGAGCTTTTTTCCAGACCCGAAAGGTGACTCAAAGCCAATTCAAGCTTGTATCTTTGCCGGTGTGTTTTTTCAGTTACTTGGGTACTATATTATCGGACACGCCCAGTGAGAAAAAATATGTATGACAAGCTTTGAGCCTTCCTTTTCGTCTCTCTTTTTAGGTATTCTTCAGTTTTGGTGGGAAATTAAGTTGTACAATTGATATTTTATTTTAGAATAAGAGCTAAGGCGTGGCTAACAGCTAAAGTGTACGATTTTTTAAATAATAGTTGTATACCAAAAATATGCGTGATCGATGGTCATTTTTATGATGACCTACATACTAACAAAGTTCTTTTATGAACGATAAGCTTTTACTTATTCATAGTGAAAATATCTTCACCTTATATTGAATTCCTAAGAAATCTATTATATTGATGAGTATTTTAAAGACTTTAAATTTCGTTTTATTCCCCATACTTTTTCCTAGTATTCCTGTACTGCTACTTGTGGGCCTAAAACTTCCGTTTAGTGCGTTAGTTGGCCCGCTTTAAATGTGGCTAAATTGTGGATGTGGAGGGGCAAGTAAGTTGGTAAGCCGAGCTCTCTCGTTTCATAAATTGCATTATGTTGCCGGCGAGTTGCGAGTGAGGAATGGAGTGGAGTGGAGTGAAGTTGCCACCGCCAGAGGAGCATTGAACTCCTCGTCTGTGGTCCGGAAACCTGACAGCAACTCCCAGTGGAAAATGTGCCCCCTTTTTTCCAGCCAACCAGCTAACCAACCGACTAACCGCCAGCCAGCCTTCTGGTTAAAACTTTTGCCCCGGCTTTGCTCACTTCCTTTGAATTTTCCGCACACGCTTTTCCTTTTCAATGGAGAGGGGAAATTTGTTTGATTGATTAAAAGTTAATACTTTTTAAAGTGATCGAGTTGGTTAATATATATATTAATGTGTTTTAATGTATTATGAAGCTAGATTTGTATCAAAAATGTACCCTTTTCACTTTCACTTTATTACTTTTGAAACTGGCAAATAAACTTCAAACGAATGATAACTTTTTCTCCACATTTAATGTAAATCATATAAATGAGATAATGTTTGGTCAGCCGTCCGTCTGTCATTCATTCATTCACGCATTCAATCCATTTCACATGCTGACCACACACAAAAATCCAAAATAAAAGGAAAATAAAATTTCATTCACATTAATTGGGGTGGCTTTGGATTTTCGGATCGGATACCACCAGGGGCTAACAGCGTGTGTATCCGTATCTTTGCAACTTTGTAGATACTTTCGGCTGCATACTGGTTGGCATTTGGTCGCGTGTCAAATAACTTCGCTTGCAGCTGTTTTTCCGAGGGGTGGAAAATACATATATCAGTATATGTGACCGATCCATTGTTTGGCTGCTACCAACATTTTGCACTTATTTACTTTGGGCTCGGGGCTCCGAACTCCGTTAAATTTCCACTTTCTTAATTGCCCATCCGAAAGTCAACAGTTCTTAAATTAGAATTGGGAAATGCTGGTAGCTGGTTCTTAATTTATAGAATTTATTGGCATTTAATGCGATGGCATAAGGGCGAGAATACCGCTATTACGATGCTCTAGGTAGGTCCCAATAAAAAATAAGTCTTCACCACAAGCAAAGTTTAATTAATCAAAAGGGGGTGGGGTGGGCAGACCAGAGTCTGCGTAGATGTGTGCTTATTAATTTGCTCTGATTAAAGACCTAAAGTGACCCCGCAAGAGTCATTTTCCTCACTTCTGATGAGGCAATGGGAACAAAGGCGGATGGGCGAGCCAGGGGAGGAGCTTTCTAAGCCGCCTAATGAATCAGCCAGTAAAATGACTAAGCAGCGAAAATGAAAGGAGAGCCGGGTGGGGTAAATGGGTGGATGCATAGACGTGCATACATATATGGTATTGCATTGCAGTCGATTCAAAGGGCCAAGGCCACTAAAAATCCAAGCCAAAAAGGCAAACAAACATGAATTTAAAGGACAAATCTGTTTCTGATTTTTGCAATTTAAATTCAAAGGGGTTTAGGTTAGATACAGTTTAAAAATCAATTCAAGCTGAAGTTTAATAGAGTAAACCAACGGAAATTGATATAAGATATTATTCTATAAACAACCACATTTCCATATTAAAAATTGATAAAAAAAGCAATGTATGGAAAAAAATATTTAAATTGAACAACACTTTTAAAAATGTTTGTCCTTATATCTAGGATCATAACAAAAACTACAAACCAAACTATTGGAGAACATACAGATGTTGCGAGTTTCAACATGATCTTTCGCGTTTTACGATTATCCTTATAGCTTATAGCCGCCATATGTTGCATGCAACTAGCCAAAACTAAAATGCATGTAGGGATGTATGCATCCATTCCCATTTCCATTTCTACCCTTGGCTGCATTTCCAAATTAATTAATTAGCATAAATTATTAATTAAAATGCGCTCAGTCAGCGATTCGAGCCAGCCGCGGAAAGCGATAGGGGAAGTAATTTCAGGTTCTGTTTTCAGGATCACTGCAACCACCCCCCGACCTACGTATTCGGAACTTAGGTATACATAATACAGATGTGCAGATACATATGGTGGTGCTATGGTGGAGTGTCAGCTGGCACCTATTTCAGCCCTCCGTTTGCCCGTTGCATTTCAGCGCTATTAATCAACTTCCTTTTTGGAACACTCCCTCCTCAAAAAAACCAGTCCGAGCTGGATTTCATCTTTTCCCGAAAAGTTTCGTTAAATGAATTATAAAGCTACTATTATTTCTTCGTATATATACGATATTTATATCGCTTGTTTATTTTTGTATTTTTTTTAAGTTATACAAGTTGTACTTTATTTTTTAAATAAAAGCTTAAACTAAAGAAAAAAATTTAAGGTCGCTGATTTAGATAAACATTGAAAGCATTGTTCTTTTTTTGTTTTTTCATTTTAAAAAATGTAGTATTGGGTATAGAAAAAAAATTCTGGTTACTGAAGCTACACTTAATTAACTCAACTTTTGTTTTTAACTTTTCAATAGTTAATACATTATTAATTTTATATGAATACAGGTTTTTCGTTAAATTGTGTTGAAAGCACTAAAATTTTCAGGACCCTAACCTATATTTAATCCTATTTTTTCGCTTAGATCTCCACCACATAGCGACTGCTGCCCGAGGGACTTATGGAGTAGTAGCTGTTCTCTGAAAAAATATTAAGTTTGATTATTAATTTCTGGGAAAATCTTTAGACGGTACAAAATTTAGGGTGTTAAAATGATCTTTTAAATATACCTATAAGGTATTATTAGCAAGAGCTCTATTCGACTCTAAGATTATTAAGAAATTACCAGAAACTCACCTTCGTCGCTGTCGAAGCTATAGAAATTATCATCATCGCGGGTCATGGATCGTCGGCTGCGTCGTTGATGCTGCAGAATTTGGTTGGGATTCGGATTCTGGTTGGAATCGGAGCCGAGATTCGGCATGGAAGTGGTGGTGTTCGTGGGCGTGGAACTTCGCCGGCTACTGGGGAAGGAAAGTGGTGAACCGTACTCGGATCGGCTGCAGTTGGAGTTCTGGCGGTCCAGAGCTAGTTCATTGGATTTCTTTTTCCTTCCACTGAGGACCACCTCATCGTCCCTATCGGATTCGTTGTCGTTGTTATTGTTATTGTTGAGAGTTATTTGTGGTATGACCACCACAGCTCGGTTCGTTGGGGTCACTGAATCCACGGCTCTCTTTTCGGTTATTTGAAGCTCGAGGATTTGCTCCATCTCCGGCACATCCTCCTGGGACTCCTCGCCCTCGCTGTGCATCCTCCGCGGGCAAAGGCGTGGCCTGCCGCCCTCGAAGCGGGATATCAGCTTGTTGACCTTGCCCACGTCACCGGGACGCACTTGCTCATTGTAGGTGAGTCGCAGGGAGCTGGTCTTGACCAGCGGCTTGGCCGGTCTCGACATGGAGGCGCTTCTCTGAGGGATTCCCCTGCTGATGGGAGTGGGAGTGGGATCTGGAGCTGGTGCAGGAGCAGGAGCAGGAGCAGGGGCCACCAGCGGAGCTGTTAAGGCCTGAGGAGCCGGTGGTGGCTTGCTGATGGGCAACGGTGGAGGCACTGCATCGTAAATGGGAGGGGTGGCTGGGCGCTTGGGTGGCGGACGTCGCTGTGGGAGTGGCGGCGGTGGTGGCGACTCCGATGGGGGTCGCTCCGATGCATCCCTCTCCTCCTCCTCTTCCTCCGATTCCTCCTCATCCGAGTATCGATCCACCTCCTCCTCTTCCTCCTCCTCCTCCTCCTCTTGGGCCATAAGGCTTTCCCTACTGTTTCCAATCTGTGGACTCTGCACCCGTATCCTTGTCACCCGGGAACTACTGTCGTCCGCCTCCTCACCACTGGTATCGATGCTACTCCCAGCACTGATCCTCAGAACTGGGGCATTCCGCAGTGCCTCATCGAAGTCGGCGAAGGCAACAGATGATCCGCCAGCCGATGCCTCGAATATGTCAATGCTTTTGGGCTTATACAGAGCAGGAGCTGGCCAGGATGAGGAGGTCTGCTCCTTGAAGCCAGCGATGATCCGATCGTTGGGCAACCAAACGTTGCTTCCACCGGCCGGGGTCTTGAATTCCGGCGATGGAGATCTCGCAGTGGGGGAGTAGGAAGATGAGATCTTGATCTCAGGGTAGGGAGAGGTTTTCCTTCCGATGGAGGAGGATGCCTTGATGCCAGGATACGGGGAAACGGAGCTGGCCTTCGAGGACATTGCTATGATCAGCGTGGACTCGTACGCATCGGAGTGCTCTTGATGGATGAGCACCCGCGGGTAGTCCTCTTCGGCCATCTCCTCCAACGATTCGCTGCTCCAGGCGGTTGCTCCGCCCTTTGACGCCGCCTGAATCTCCGCCAGCTTCGCCATTTGGCGAGCAGCGTGGGTGGCCGCAGCTCCCGATAGGGATTCCCTCTTTCCCCTCTCATGCTCCTCCTGATGTTCCTCCTGGATCTGGCCAAATGCCTCCTCAGCGGATATATCCTCGCCACTATCGTCGTTCTGCTCATCCTCATCCTCGAGGCTATCGCTGCGATGGTAGGTGGTCGGCAGTTCCTCATCATCATCGAGCTCCACCGGTTCGTGACCCACGGTATTCGGTTTGCGTTCTCGCTCTGATTTAACTGGGTTTTCATTGGCGTTGGAGTGCCGTTGAAAAAACTTGAGCTGGTGCATCTTCTCGTTAAGCTTGGCCAGGGTCTTCTCCAGCTGGGAGCCAAGTAGGAGACCTCCTAGGACTCCAGTGGCGGCCCCAGTGGCGGCTCCAGTTTGATCCACATTTGTTCCCTCCTTGGGCTCCTTCGGGACACGCTCCTTGAAGCTTTTTCGCCAACGCTGCTGCAGTTGCTCCGTGGACGCAAAACGACTGAGACGAGCGCGCAGATTGGATGTGGAGCTTCTGCCGGGTGCATCTTTGGGAGTCTCCTGCTCCTCCTCTTCTCCGTCCCTTTCTTCATCTGAGTCCACAGCTGCTTTTGTGGCCTTGGTTTTATTCTTGGCCGGACGTTTGATGGACTTTCGAAGTCTCTTGATGTTTTGCCTTATGCCCAACTTGGAGCCTGGATTAGTTTCCCCGGCTCCAGCATTCTCTTCGGTCTTGAAGGAGGCCTCCTCCTTGCTCCTGGAGAATTGCGAGAGATTCGGCAGACTTGGCAGATGATGGGGCAACTTGTTGAGCAACTGCTTATAGCTACTGGGACGCTGTGGAACTGGTGGTGGCTCCTGCACCTCAAGCTCCTTCCCAGCCTCCTCCATTTCCAAGGGAGGCTTGCGCACCTTGGCGAATCTGGTGGCAGCTATACCTGGTTTCCGGCGACTCGGCAATGGCGGGGTGGCCTCCATCCCGCTCTCATCCGTCTCATGGTTCGCACTCTTGCCCTTCTCAAACTGCTCGTGCTCCACCTCGTCCTCATCGAAGGTGTTCTGCCGAGTGGCCACCAAAGTTCTGATCTTGATATCATAGTTCTCGGCTATCTCCCGATCTCTGCGCTCCCTGGCCAGTTTTTCCGACTTCAACTCCCGCTCGTACTGCTCCACGTAGCGATCCACCTCGATGTTATCCCTCCTCACCGTCGTCTGTTTGGCAAAGATGTGCTTGAGCCTCAGTTCGCTGAGGCTCTTGTAGCCTCTCTGCAACCGTTGGGTCAATGTGGAGGTCCCCGTATTCCCCGTGGGCGGTGGATCATCTGGTATTTTGATGGGACTAATGGGTCGCGAAGCTCTGTCTGCGCTGCCAGGAGCATAGTAGTCGTCATCGAGACTTCCTGCACTTCTGTACGTTCCCGGCTGCGATCTTTCCAGTTGTCCCACCCGGATCTCCTCCTGCTCACCCTCGTACATCAGCGAACTGATCGTGGAGATCCTCTGGGGCGTTCTGTTGATGAACTGCTGCGATTGGGTACCAGCCACCTGGAGGTGCGACTGCTGCGGTGCTCCTCCTCCTCCTCCAGCATCTTTCGAGGATCGCCCTGCTGCTTCTGTTCCACTCTTGGAGCTGCGGAAGATCTTGCGACCACGCAACTTGGGCAGCGATTTGGGCAACTTCAGTTGGGGCAACTTGGCTGTGGGGGAATATTTCAGGAAAATTGTTATCAAAATAAAGTATTCAAGAAAAATGTAGTCATAGGTTAATATCTTCTATATATATTGGGTACTTCTTCTATCTATATATTTTAAAATTGTAAGAATCAGTGCAGAAACTGTTTCCCAAACCAAATGCCAATTACAAATTATTACCAAAATTAAAACGACATAACTATTTCAATGCTTAAACTTTAGACTTGGTTGTATGCTATACTGTTTTTCCTCAGAAGACCTTGAAGAGTAAGGTCTTGAAATGCAGTTATACTTTTGAGCAATCACCCAAATCTCCCACCAACTCACCTCTCAAACTATCCACATCGATGCGCTGGCATAGGTTTCGAAAATCCATAGAAGAGCCAATGCGATCCGTATTCCTAGTCCTATTTTGCTCCAAATCGGGGGAGTTACGTCGCTCCAGTTGCGATTCCGATTGCACCTGATGGATGTGATGATGGTAATGATGGAACTGCTGCTGCTGGTGGCTCATCACACCAGAGCGAACAAATGTATATCCACTAGATCTGGGGATATATATCCAATAAACCGAAACTGAAAACCAAAAACTTGGAACGTCCGTTGCAGTTCAGCATTTTAGCCAGTTTGAAGAGGCTCCGGCGGAGAATAGCGAAGAAAAACACGGACTACGGCTGCGGCAACTGGCACCTGTCAATGGAAAACTGCTAATTCAATTAGCACATGGGGGCTTTTCCAACCCTTTGTTTTGGTACAAGTACGAGGTATGCCTTGGGTATTTAAATCTATCCACCGGGGGTGCAGCAGAAATCTCTAGAGACGTGAAAGGTCTTTAAAAGGTGTCTGAAAATATGCTGTAAAAAATAGTGTACCATCTCTTTAGATTTGATAGGTCACAAAGTTTAGTATGGCCAGAATAAGAAACTCGCCAATAATATATGATATTAGAACCTTACTGAATTATAATAGATGGGTATTTCCAATAAGCACCCTATGGCATATAGCTTTTACTTGTTTTACTTCTTCTTCCTCTGCACTGTTTTTGTGCTTCCTCTGCCAACTTGCAACTGCCCTGGCACATTTTCTAACCAGGTCTATGACGATACCTCGAACACCCCCTACACCCATCTATATCCCCATATATATTAACATGTATATTGATTCATTGACGGTTCTGCGTCTGGTTTTCGGTTCTCCGTTGCACTTGGTTCACCCATTGTCTCAGTTCTCTTGGCCACTTCCTCCGCGTTTGTTTTCACTATCCCAAGGCAAATATAGTCGCAAAAGTAATAAGTTTACAATAATCGATTCTCGTTTCGTCTACGTTTGTTTTTCCTTGTTTTGTGGTTTATTTTTGTTTGTTTGACTGTGCGTTTGATGATTCGAAATGGCTAAAAGTATTCGATATCGAATTTGTGGGGTCTCTCGCTGGTCAAGGTTTATGAAGAGGGTCTTATATGAAATGGGCGAAATTCTTTTGGATTTTGGACATTTTATAATGATTTAACTCTACAAATCTCGGGAAATCTCAGTGTTTCTTAGTGCTGCTAAATAAGCCATAATAAATTTTTTTTAAATTTAAAAAAATGGGATATCTGAAATGTTTATAATACGTTTTAGAAGATATTTTACTGTAATATATAATTTTGCTGTTGGTTTTATTGTACATACAAAATGTGTATTGTAAAACTTAAGACATAACTAAGAATTTTAAAATCAATGCGTTTTTCAATACTTTACCTTATGGTTAGAATAACAGAGTACTTAATAAGTCAATTGGGAAATTCCCGTGAACAAAGAATAGTTTCTAAATGCGACATTTGGTAGTCATTAAGTAAACACTTTTCTCGTTGAAATCAAGTTAATTAATCGCATTACTCACGACTCCTTTTCTTTTTCCCCCATTTTCTTTGCAGACAAGAGACGTGCTCAACTTTTACCGCCACCACCCACACGCCCGCCGCCCACCGCCCACTTTTAGTAATGCCATTTCACTCGCACTCACACTAGTCGCATCGTCGTGTCGCGTCGCGATTTTCGCAATTTTCGCAATTGAAAAGTGTAAAGTTCTAGACACACCAGTATCATCGTTGTTGTCATAATCTTATTTTTGCAGTGAACGGCAGCAAGGAATAAAAGCTCGGCTCGCATGCAATTTTCATTAGTGGGAAAATTGTTTGATGTGTAAGAGGCAACCGACAAATAAACCGAATCAAGAGCAGCAGCAGCCGCGGTAGACAGACTGTCACACATTCCAAACTAAATTAATAATAGAAAAAATAAAAGTTAGAACCAAAACGAAACACACTCGAGGGCACGAGCGGAGTGCCAAACAACGAAAATGTGGCGGCAGTCAACGATACTGGCCGCGTTATTAGTGGCTCTTATTACGGGCTGTGCAGCAATCAAAAGTAAGTGAAACAAGAAATTACATTTGTATTTTGTTAGATAAGCAAATCCAACTAAATGAAAAAATCCACTGGGATTTATTTATACCTGAAAGAATTTAGAGCAACTCATTTGAACGTAGATCACTTGAGATTTCCTAAAACCCTAAATGGCCCTTAAGTGTATTCCCCAAACGTCTTGTTCTTAAAAACTAGTCAATGCTAAAAATACTCTGAGTTTTGTGAGGGAAGCATTAAATTTATGCCATCAATTAGTATGCTCGGGACCCAAAGCTCATCGATCTCTTCCCATTTCTCCCGTAATATCTTTAGGCAACTCCCCACCAAGAATCACCAAACAACCGGCACCCGGAGAACTGCTCTTCAAAGTAGCACAACCCAATAAGGAAAGCAACAACCCATTCATTATCGAGTGCGAAGCCGATGCACTACCCGAACCAGAGTAAGTTTTCTTAAGCTTAGAGAAATATAATCTTTAATTTAGGGGAAATAATCCGAAAATTAGATAATCGTGAAAATATCCTATGGTTAAAGCTTTTAAATCTCCTTTATATCTCTTCGTCGGCTATACATTTATGTACTCTGCCCCCTATTTTAATTCACATAAATCAAATCTGAGCAGCCTACACCAAATTTTTTGTTTGTTTATTTCAGCCTTGTTGTTTCTTTTCTAGACTTTTTGTTTTTTACGAAATATTTTGCGTCGTTACAAGTATTTTTAATTCATTCGAGACCAGCAGGACGCACATATTAAGGGAACTTGATACAGTCTGCCCTAAAAAATAGTTTCGGTGCTTAAAAGAGCTCTGATATAAATAATGCCTTATCATATGTAAGATTTTAATTTGTTTGAACTTTACAAGGGTACTAAATATACCGAGTACCAAATATTATGTCATGTTCATTTGGTTTTTCTTTAGCTTAGCTCTTTTGAGCTATCTTTGTTGTCGAATTGTCCAAAAATATACTTTTAAATGTATTTATAATTTTGATTTGGATCTGACTCCCCCTCCTGTTACTTTTTTTATTTTAGTGATGATGCAAGTCTCGTTGAGGAAGTGAGTGATATTTGTTTCTCTGAGTAACCCATAAGAGCGATTTGAACCTGTTTCCTAAACACGTTTCGTTTCGGTTGTTTTGTTCATATGTAGGCTTTTGATCACTTCTTTTTAGTCGAGCGTGTACTTTGGGCCCCATTGCAGGGGGATTGAGTCATTCGGTATGAAAATGCGGAATTTGAAGTTAAAAATGCTGTGGACAGAGGGCAAACAGCGGCTGATGATGATGATGATGATGGTATGACCTCATTGCCAAAGAACAGGGAGGGGGAGTGGACAAAAGTGGAGAGGAGCAGAACAGCATTGTGCCAACGAAAAAATTCCAAAGTATCTGTGAAATATTTTTGTGTTGGAAAAAAGAATATACAAGAAAAATAGTTTTGTCCAGGTTTTTATTCTGAGAAACGAAAACTTAAAGAAATGATTTGTAGAGGCCTTCACTTATTGCCTTAAAACTGTTATTACTAGATATAAGATATAATTAATAAAACCTAATAGATGGACTTTTAGGTTTAAAATATGAAAAACAGAAAGGTAGCTGGAAAATTGCGTGACTTTTTTTTTATATTTATTGCATTACTTTTTTTGGTCTCGCTAATGAATGTTTACTGTATTCTAATAAAAAATTGGCAGCAACAACACAAGTGGAAGCAGTGCAGTTGCAGCGCAGCAGCAGCGCTGCTGGCGTCGGCAGAATAGCAACAGATGGCCGAACGCCAGACACACACACCCAAACAAATACACACACACGCACGCAGAACGTGAGAAATGTGCAAGTAAAAAAATAAGAAAAAAAAAGAGAAAAAGAAGCAATGGGAATGTGAAAATTGTGTGTTGTTTATTTTTACACGTACAAAACTAAAATGGGTTAATAGTGGGAAATGTGTGCGCTTTTCCTTAGGCCCTCTCTCTCTCCCTCTCTTTCACAGCAAGTGGTTCAGGTACAGTGTTAGAAAAATATAAAAAAAGTATCAGACCCAAAGCAGTAATATCACAAAAAACCAGTTTGACCGGATGGTCAAGCACGTTGAGAATATTAACCAAAGCGAAATGGAAACAAAAAATATAGGGGGAAAAAGAGAAGAAATTAACTCACCTATGCCGGCTCAGCATTACGTAATTTTACGGGACAATTTTAAACAAATTTTTCAGAGAATTTAAAGAGAATTACCCCATGAGTAAAGCATATTGGTTCTAGTTCTAGCAGTTAGTAATAAGATACTGAATTTATTGACCATAGCTAATATTTTCTAGGTACTTTTTAATTCATAGAAAAATTCGAGCTATGGAAATGCGATTCATCAGTTATATAAAAACTGTATTTGTTTTAAAAGATCATATCTAACAGATAATATTATATAATATTGCGCCACAAACGTAACCTACTTCAGTTTTTAATCTCTATTAAATCAATAGAAAGGCTATGGACATTTTGTAATAGCAAAATAGTTACGGTCTTGTAATAGATATATGTAAGTATGTATATTACAAAGCAAACATCGTGGGGTTAAAACGGAAATTGCTGGCCAATTTTCATATTTTATCTTAGGCATGTAATAAGCCAAATTACAGGCATTTTTTCTTTTCATTTTAATTCATAACTATTTGGTTATGCTCGTTGGATTGCGTTGGCTTTAGTGCACAAAGAGAAAATTGTACTAGCAATACTTTTATTGCTTTCATGATTTTATTTATTTTAGATTCATTTTGTTATTTGCTTAGAAGCAATTGTAACTTTAAAAAATGTGTTTTTTTTGTCTTATTTACTTTGAATTATTTTCATAATTTGAAATATTTATCTACTTTAAGTTTTTTTTACGTGTACCAAATCTAAATTTAGGCCGCATAAATTATATTCATAATTGACTTTTTTTCTGTGCTTGCATTACATCAGTCGCGCGCCTAATTTTCTCCTATATTTATTTATTTCTTGTTCCTATCTGGGCTTTTTGTGTGGTGCATTCTATCTATAAGGCCACATCTATATCTATCTATACGCCTCCGTGATTCAGCCTGACATACTTTTATTGTTGTCATTGGCCGATGTCTGTGTCGCGTTTGTCGTTTTTTCAGTTGCTACTTTGCTCTTGATGTTGCTGCTGCAAAATGTTGCTGTTGCTGCTGCTAAATGCATAATGCAATGCGTGCGCAGTTATTTTTAGATTCCAAAACAAAGAGATCGATCCACTGATTATGATCAAACGATCTAACGATTTTTATCCCACAATTACGATCATCATATTTATGCTATTTAATTTTTATATTGGTTCAACTGCTTTAAGACCTTATAAAAGTGAGTCAACATTTAGCTATACACTTTCAATTGGTTGCATTCCATATTATGTGCAGATACATTTGGTCATCAAGTACAAAACAGAACCAACTGACGCATCGGAAGATGATTAATCCGTATAGAGAATGTGCCAGAAGAGGTTTAATATTATAAATTTAAAACGTGTTTTCTAATCATTTATCATTCCGTTAGTGTTACAAAGTTTCCCCAGGGGAAAATATACGATTGTATCGGCGTATTACTTTCCCATTTTTCATTTTCTTTTTCTGTGTTTTCATTCAAAATGAAATTATTTCCATATTGTTTGTGCCTCGCCTTTTCTTCTCTCTTTTAAGTGGCAGTCGGGGTTAAGCAGTTTAATTGAGTCGGGTTAAAGCTCAGTTATCTGAACCGTTCAATTCCGTTTTCGAAACACTTTAAACATGTAAAATAAAATTAAATATTCTTCAAGATGCCCTTGAATTTTAGAGGTTTAGGCTTTAAGAGAAAAGAAGATAAAATACCTTAAGCTGGTTGGTTTTGAAAAGTTGATTGCTTGAACTATGCAGGAAAACTAGTTTTGTGGCTTTTGTCTTTTGTTCATGCATGTGTGGGAGCCTGACAATCATATTAACTTTAAAACCAAGAAATACTTGGTTTTTCAGTTGTTTGAAGCTTTGAATAAAGACACAAAACTCAGGCAAAGCTTCAAGATGGTGTTTGATTTATACACACTGCAACCAATGTTAAAGGCTGTATTGTTAGTTTGAAAAGAAATAAATTCAAGAAAAGTGATTAAAAGAAATCTACTCTATTTTTCAGAGCAGGCAGTGAGAATGTTATCTTTGGATCCCACAATATTCCACATACGCAGTGTAGGACCTCAACAGCTGCTGGAAGCTAGATAGAGATACAAATCAGGAGAGTGGAGTTGAAGGCCCATTGATTTTTCACACCACATTACACAAAGTCCTTCAGAAGCTGTCCCTACTAGTTCATGTCCTTGAATGTTATTTTCCACCACTGGGCCCACCCTCCTCGCAATTTCCATCTCGCCCTCGTTAATTTGTTATTTTAGCTTCATGTTTCCCTAATGATTTTGTCTCGTCAGTTTGGCGCCAACTTTGCTTCTGCCACCCCCGAAAAAATATCGAAAATAAAATCGAGGGAAAAGGGCAAAAAAAAATTAAGGAAAAAACTGCAACTGAGCAATTCAGTTGTTAAGTAGTCCGATTAAAATCCGGAACTTTTCAACCCCAAAGGAATGGAGTCATCAAATTTCTGGGCAAATACAGTAAATCCTCTTAAGAGAAACCAAAATTAATAAATATATCCGAAATATGTATAAAAAACTTAAGAAGGACTTGTGGAATAATAATATTATAGAAATTACTTTAGATGTATGAAAATAAACAAAACTAATTCTTTTTTTGGCATGGTCACACTGATCTGTTTATCAGCTGGTCTGAAAAGCAACTCTGATTTCAGTATTTCAATTTAGCCTAGTTTGACTGTACTTCCCTTGTGCGGGGAAAAGCATGATTCATACGTATCAATCAAACTTTTTGGGCACAGGACAAAGGGAAACTGAGGGGTGAAAGGTTACGGTGGGCGGTGGGTGGTGACGACACGTTTCTGTGTTGCTGTCTCTAGTTGCCATTTCGTCATTTATTCGGCTTCTATATACGTCCCTCTTCTCCTCGTTTTCCGTCTTACTTCGGCTATTGCGCATATAAGGAATTAACGTATAATCGAGGAACGAGGCAGAAGGGTAAGAATATCGGAGGGAGTATCTTTTGGCATATTTAATGCAGCCAAATTCAAGAAAATCGATTAACTGCGACAGCGGAAAAAATAAGACAGAACGAGTAATGAGAGTGGGGCTTCCTTACAATATAATTTGTACTTCTCTGGAGGGTGGAAAGTAAAGAGATATATTTCTTATTTATTTGGCAAGCCCTATATGACTCATTGTTCAGGGGTAAGAAATAAAGCATGTACTTTGAAAGCCATTCGTAAGAACCTTAATTTAATAACAATAAAATCCCCGTATCTAAAGAGAGATGTGTGCTCTATATATAAAAAAAAACCAATCTTTCAGAACATAATACA